TAGGAATAGGAATAGGAACAGAACAAAATTCTTTATTGGCCAAGTGTGATTGGACACACAAGGAATTTGCCTTTGGTGCGTACGTGGGAATGCCAGATTGATCCAAGCAAATACAAGCAAAAGGGTGGAGAAACAGGATTCCGAAAAGCTTGTTGCTCACCCATAAATGTCCAGCACACCAATAAAAGAATGCTGCTTGACTGTCGTGTGCAAGGCCTTGTTGATATGCTGCACAATCCAGTTGAACAGCTGGGCGTAGATATGCTTGGCTAGCGCATTCCTGGCGTTGACGGCTTGTTGGAGGGACATATTCTTGATGTAGGTTTCCGAAGTGGTCACCAGCTTCCGATGGCAAAGCCAGTGTTCCAACTGACTGTGCTCCACTCCCAGTAATCTGCAAAAATGATGCAGGTGTTCATCTTGGTTCTATAGGATATAAAGAAAGACATCTGATTCAGCAAAGCACACAGTGGAGGTTGATGTCGCCTTCTGGATCTCTGGCTAATTACTTTCTTTTATAGTGTATGGCATAGAACACGTGGATATCAATAAATAAAATAATGTAGAAGGAACACATCATACTATGATACATGAATGATGGAAAGATGTAGTCAATTTTGTAAGGTTTGAGGAATTCAAGAAATTATATATGATTATAGGTTACATTTTAAAATACAGTGATTCCTAAGAATAGGTAAGTGGTCTATATATTAATATCTAGAGCATTTACCCAATTAAGCGCAATATCTGTTAGTTGGAGAAAGTCTGGAAGTTTTCCTCCTGTATAAATCACAGCAACTAACTCCTATTCAACTTCTTACAAAAACTATGGCTTTAATAAAGATTATTAGCACTGGTGGGTGGCATCGAAACCCACTCATTTTTGTGTTGGGTTAGATATTTTTTTCCCCCAGAATCTGGACGTCCGGTAGTCCAGTTTACATTCCTCTGCGACTTTACATCAAAGTTAGCATTATGAAGCTGCTGTGCAAGAATCAGTGGGTGGTTCCTGGATAAGTACAATAGTGTAGAGGAGAACTGGATTCTGACCTTGATTGTTTAACAATATAAAAACCAACAGCTCTTTCCCTTCACTTAGTCAAAATGAAGACACGGTCTCTCCCAATCCATTATTCTGTTTACAGGTACTCCTCGACATGATAGGATAGGATAGGATAGGATAGGATAGGATAGGATAGGATAGGATAGGATGAAGGCACCTTGGAGGTCTTCTAGTCCAACCCCCTGCTTAGGCAGGAAACCTACGACCACAAAAACTTATGACCGCAATTGAGCCCAAAAGTTTATGTTGTTAAGCGAGATATTTGCTAAGTGAATTTTGCCCCATTTTACAACTCTTTTTGCCGCAATTGTTAAGCCAATCGCGGCAGGTGTTAAGTTAGTCACACGGTTGTTAAGCGAATCTGCCTTCCTCATCGATTTTGCTTGTCAGAAGGTCGCAAAAGGGGATCACATGACCCCCGGGACATGGCAAAGGTCATAAATATGAGCCAGGTGTCAAGCATCTGAATTTTGATCACGTGACCATGGGGGATGCTGCAAAAGTCGTAACTATGAAAAAGGGTCATGTCACATTTTCCAGTGCTGTTGTAACTTTGAACGGTCACTAATCGAACTGTTATAAGTCGAGGACTACCTGTATACCTGATCAAGCATCACAGGCAGGCTTACTGGGGTTGAGGGTGAGTGATTGTCCTTGTGCCCGAGACGGGATTAAAACTCAGTGTCCCAGTGACCTGGGGGGTCTTAACTGCTACATCAAATTGGGTCTCCAATTACTGGTTTAAAAAAATAATAAAAGGAATCGCTATTTTGCAAGTATGCCGAATCTCCTAAGATCTCTGTATTCCTCATGAGATTCTCAGGAGCCAATGCAAGGAACTTGATGGGATTTAGATTATTTTGTAAACTATTAACAAACACAGGGGCGAGGGGGAAGGTTAAAAATGGCACCATTGTGCACATGATTGAAAAAGCTGACGAACATTCTGTACTCAGGGGAATCCTGTTTTGTAATTGGAAGTCCCGACAATCCTCATTTATTGCACTCAAATTGTGTTGGAATTACTACTGTAAGACGTCTTCACTAGCACGTAATTGTTATGCTGGCAATTCTCAAATGAAGGAAAGGAGCCTCAGGAGGCTGCATTGGGTGGGGAATGTAGACGGTAGAAAACTTTTTCTCTGCACCTCATATTTTGCTGTGCTTTGCTGATTAAATACATTAGCAGGCAGATCAACCGTCCAGAATCATGGATGCATTTCAATTAAACTTCATCACCATCATTAAGGACAGCAAATACTTGAAAATAAGATTTGCTTATCGGCTCAGCATGTCCAAGGCTAAGAATTAAAAACAGGCCACAGCATTATTTCTTAAGGAGGTGTCGCAACTTTGCAAGCCATGTTGTAACATTTGAATTCGGTTTAGTATAGTCATAGAACCAGAACAAATAAAAACACTTAGTGAATGTCCAATTAAGAATTCTAGAATAAAATAATAAATAACAGTTAAAATCTATGTTAAAATCCAGTCTGCCAATTACACATGGCCTATATCAGTGATGACTAACCTTTTTCCCATCGCATGCCAAAAATGGGGGGAACGCAGGGAGGGGTCATGCGCAGGCGTGCCCACACCCATAATTTTATGTGCATGCATAGAGGGTGACCCTGCCCTCCTCCCAATTTTGGCAGTTGATGGACTCATTTTTCACCCTCCCCAGGCTCCAGAAGCTTTCTAGGAGCCTGGGGAGGGTGAAAATGGCCTCCCCAGCCTTCCTGGAGGCCCTCTAGAGACTTCAAGCGGCTTCAGAGAAGGGCGAAAAATAGCTCTCCGGCCAACCCAGAAGTTTGGGGACAGACTTCCGGTTTGCTCGTAGCGCCGTTTTTCGCCCTCCGGAGGTGGAAAAACAGCCCAATGCACAAATCGGAAGTCCATTCCCGAACTTCCAGTTTGCACGTTGGGTTGTTTTTTGTCCTCCGGAGGCTTCAGGGAGGCCGAAAATGAAGGCCGAAGTCAATTTGGAAGCTGATAGGGCAATGCCTTGCGTGCCCTAACCAATAGCTCCGCGTGCCACCTGTGACATAGGTTCGCCATCACGGGCCTACACTAAAATAAACAATCCATAAACTGTGAGGACCATAGTCAATTAAATACTAAAATGCAAAGTTCAAAGTTTATGGACTGGGGCCAAACAGCATATGGATGATTTTAGTATTGTTAGGCCATGTGTAATTGACAGACTGGATTTCAACAAAGATTTTAACTGTTATTTATTATTATATTCTAGAATTTTTAATTGGACATTCATGTAGTGTTTTTATTTGTTCTGGTCTCTATTCTATGACTGCAATAAACTGAAAATTTATTTATTTATTTTATTTTATTTTATTTTATTTTATTTATAAGGTTTGTATGCCGCCCACTCTCGAGAGACTCAGGGCGGCTTACAGATAAAAAGGAAGGGGGGAACATACAAAAACTAAAAAACAACATAATATTGGAATTAGAAAAAAAGAAAACACTTCAGCGGATGATCATGGAAACGCATATAGATAGTGCTCATCTTACAACCATTCATTGAGTAACTTGTTCAAAATGACACTGAAAAAGTGACTTATCACTGGTTTTCCCGCCAATGGCCATTTTCCGGAATATCCATGGTCAGGTTAAACAAAATTTGAATGTTTGGCAACTGACTCACATTTACGACGGCTGCAGTGTCCTGGGGTCCAGTGATCCCCTTTTGTGACCTTCTGGCAAGCAAAGTCAATAGGCAAGCCAAATTCACTGAACAGCCATGTCACTAACTGAACAACTGTAGTGGTTTTCTTAACAACCGTGGTAAGAAAGTTCAAAAAAATGGGACAAGACTCATTTAACAACTGTCTTGTTGTCAGCAATGGAAATTTGGCGTCTCAACCATGTTGGTAAGTTGAGGACTAACAGATTAATCAGCAATTGTATCACATTTTAGTGCGTATAGTCAAGGCTATGATTTTCCCAGTTGCAATGTATGGCTGTGAAGGTTGGACTAGGGGTGAAATCCGCCCAGTTTGGCCGAACCAGTAGGGACGAACGTCCTTGGTTCTGCGAACAGGTAATAAAAAAAGCTTCCGAGGATCGCGCCACAGCTGTGAGCCCCGCGATCATCGGAAGGTTTCCCCCCCACTTTTTAAAGCATTTTTGCTTTAAAAATGCTTTAAAAAGTGGGGGGAAAGCTTCTGACCATCGTCTGGCTCACATCAGAAGCTCTTTTTCCCCACATTTTTTAAAGCATTTTTCCCCTGCTTATTCATGCAAACCGGTAGGGAAAAAATGCTTTAAAAAGTGAAAAAAAGTTGGCCATGCCCACCCAGTCACATGACTCCTCAAAACCACACCCACAGAGGCGGAATTAGAGTTCACCACTGGGTTGAACCATAAGAAAGGCTGAGCGCCAAAGAATTGAGTCCTTTGAACTATGGTACTAGAGAAGACCCCTGCGAGTTCCTTGGACTGCAAGGCGATCCGACCGGTCAGTCCTAGAGGAGATCAACCCTGACTGCTCTTTAGAAGGCCAGATCCTGAAGAGGAAACTCAAGTACTTTGGCCACCTAATGAGAAGGAAGGACTCACTGGAGAAGAGCCTTATGCTGGGAACAATTGAGGGCAAAAGAAGAAGGGGACGACAGAGAATGAGGTGGCTGGATGGAGTCACCGAAGCAGTAGGCGTGAGCTTAAATGGACTCCAGAGGATGGTAGAGGACAGGAAGGCCTGGAGGAATGTTGTCCATGGGGTCGCGATGGGTCAGACACAACTTTGCAACTAACAACAACAACTGTATCATCTATCTATCTATCTATCTATCTATCTATCTATCTATCTATCTATCTATCTATCTAT